TCCTTAGCACCACTCAAGAATATAAGAAAAAGAAATTCAAAACCTATATTATGCCTTGAATGGCGTCTAGCTACCTAAAAGAATTTGAAACCTAATCACATGAAGGTGCTGCAGCCACTATATACAGGTTGGCCTTCAAGTTATGATTAGGATTGGCATACTTGCTTTTCAAATATGACTTGATATATAGCAAGTCAAATGTGTTTCACTTTATGCTTCATCTAAATAACTTGCTCAATTAGTTATTGAAATATTACAAATATAATAATTGATATATTGTTTAATTATTTTTGATTTACACTGTATATGTTTGAAACATATTTTAAACTTGTAAAATTATTAGAGATAAATCAGATATTCTGAAATATTTAAATTGCTAGATATAATATAGGTCATATATTAGAAGCTTTATTTGTAGTTAAATATTTATTATTTAATTTTTACTATTTTATCGATAATTAAATATATTTAAGAAATATTTATAGTTACCCATTAAGACATAACTTTTTTTTATAATGGTAAGTACTGATTGCTTGGAATCTTATGCTCACCTAAAAAAAAAAAGATTTTAAAAGTTATTATTAATTGATATACGTAAAATAGTGGAAATTAGTATACGTTTGACAATCAACCAGTGAAACACGTGAAATTTAACCAATGTTTCTCACTTCTGTTCGCGTCTCTAGACTGAATATACTAAAAAACAATTTTATATTTGTTCGAAATTACATAATGAATAATAGACTAAAGAACAAAAATGTATTCATGTAATACTCTTTATTACGAAGTATTCTAACTATTTTTATCAAAATTTTGATCTCTACTGTTTACAATTCCAGTACTGGAGCTTCTGCTGGTATTGGAGAAGCATGTGCAAGGGAATTTGCGAAATCCGGCTCTAATTTAGTTTGTATTTTACAATTCACAAAGATTTATATCACGTTCTTGCCTCTGATTAAAATGAGGTTTGCTTATATTTTCGTAATTCAATTTCCAAATTAGGTTTTAGCAGCAAGGAGAATGGAACGTCTTGAGCAGCTCAAAAATGAATTACTGTCAGAAAACCCTAGTATAAAAATTCATACACATCAATTAGATGTACGCGATAAATCTTCTGTAGATTCGTTGGTTCCAAGTTTACCGACGGAGTTAAAAGAGATCGATATTTTGATAAATAACGCTGGTAAATTTTTACTACATTAGATATTACAGGTTCTTTCAGATTGCCTTTGAAACGTGTTCCCTAATCATTCTGTCAAATGAATTTGCACAGGATTAGTTATCGGAATGGATAAAATTGAAGATATTTCTTCGGATGCTATCGACACAATGATTGACACCAATGTTAAGGGTTTGTTATATGTTACCCAAGCTATTCTTCCAGGAATGAAAGAACGTCAAAAAGGTCATATAATTAACATTGGATCTGTGTCGGGTTTGTATACAAGATTTTTTTCAACAGCATATATATACATATTATTCATTGAATCAATTCCTCTGTAGGAAAGCAGGCTTATGCAAATGGCGGTGTATATTGTGCATCCAAACATGCTGTCAACGCTATTTCGAGAGCTTTACTTCAAGAGTTGGTGAATATTTTATGCAATTGTATAATTTATAATTTATAATTGACAATATTTAATTATTTTCATTTAAAGGTTGCAACACCAATTAAAGTAACCGAAATCAATCCAGGAAGGTTTCTTTAAATATTAAATGATGATATTATATCATAATATTAATAATCAGCTGAATCTACAGGCATGGTAGAAACAGAATTCTCAATTGTTAGGTTCGGTGGTGATAAATCAAGGGCAGACAAAGTCTACGAAGGAATAGTAAGTGCTGTGTCATCATCTATGAAATTATATTTCATGTAGTCAATAAATAATGTTTTTGTTTAACATGTGTGCAGAAACCTTTAAGTGGTGAGGATATTGGTAAGCGATCTATTAAGAATTGTTTATAATTAAAGTATATTTTTTCCAACTATTTAATTTTACAATGGGTTGTAATCATAGCCGAAACGGTAGTGTTTGCTGCATCAAGACCTGATCACGTCAATATTGCCGATGTGTTAATATACCCAGTTAATCAGGTGTCATAATATTTTCATCATCCATGTTTCTAATATAAATTTTGGATTATTACTTAATTTTCTTTACACTTATTTATACAGGCATCAGTGTTCCACTTTCATAGACCATATGCTAAATAGATTTTGTATCTAAATAGTAGATAATATTTATGTTCCACGTGAAGTAAATTATCAGCAATGAATGATTGCACATCCTGTTTCAATTTTCTTATTAATAACAACTATTATGTATTTGATTAAATTTCACAATATTTGTATATTAAAGGAGTTTTGTATTTTAATACGGAATGTTTATATTTGGGTTAACAAAAAGTAATATTGATTTACAAATCATATTTGTATTATTATATCTTAAATTTGAAACCAAATTTATTTATTGATATATACAGTCGCAAAAGTTTTTGAATTAATATAATTTAATAAACAATAATAATATTTACTATTATTATAAATATATGGGTAATTATTTTTGAAGGTGGATTGGAAATTTTCTGGTGTGATCCTAAAATTTATATTATATACAGTATGTATTGTTTAAAAGTTGAGTCCAAAAATCATATCTTACATTTTTGAAGGTGGACCGAAATTTTTTTGGTGATCCTAAAATTTATACTAAATATGTATTGTTTAAAAGTTGGGTTCAAAAAAATCATATTCAGCATTTTTGTTGCCTTCAAAAATAATTATCCATATATATAAACCTAATTGATCCAACTTATCTGTCAACAGTACAAAATCTTTAAATATGATTATTGTAATGAAATATTGCTTACTTATTGGATAATTAAGATTTTAAGCCTTTAAACCCACAGATCACCTCTGCAATTATATATTAAAAATCAGATTGTGTTGTTTTTCTTTTATAAAAAGTAAAAATATATAAAGAAAAATAAAAAAAATATATTACAAATATATGTATAAATAAATAAAAACCATCATCTATTTTATTTATTATTAAGAAATTATATTTTAGTTTAAATAAATTCAAAACTTTTTATAATTACTAGAACTTTTAACAATACTATTTCAATACTACTTCAATATCAGTTCAATACTTAAATTTACTATAAATTCATATAAGTGGGTCACAATATATATATTAAATTTACTATAGATCAGTACTATTTCAATACTATTTCAATATCAGTTCAGTACTTTTTAAAGCTTTGATAATTACTAATATACTATTTGTAACTATTAAGTAATTAATTTTATTGAAAAAATAATTATAAGTATTTAAAAAATTTAAAAAAAATTTTTTTAAATTTTATACTTGAAGACTTTTAATATAAAGAAATATTAATTTTTTTATATTTTATTCAAGTTATTATTATTATTATTATTATTTGCCTCTAATCAGACTGCAAATGGAAGCATTTATTAATCCAATTTTGGAAAACAGTAATACAATATAAATACTATACTAGAGCTAAACCAACACAATTTTGCAGAACATCCATTAATGAGTTTAGATTTATATATGATCCTTGAATCCTTAATATCAAGACCACCATGTTGTCCATATGATTTAGCTATTTATTAACTATCTCATTATAAGAAAGTAGGTTCATTAAGCTATTACTACGTGATATTAACTATCTTAGACTTTCTAACTCTTAATTCTCTAGATGTGATTGAAGGGAATAATAGAAAAGACTAGGTATCAAAGACTATGTCTTGAAAGATTTTAGCCAGCTTACATTTAAACTGTCACTCTCATACAAACCTGTGGTCTTAAGAGATAAAAAATTTTTATTTTTTAAGAAAAAAAGGTGAATAAAAAAGATAGTTGAGAAATCTGTTTTGGTAAATAAAAACCCTTCAATATCAACTTTGATCTATTGGAATAAATTTTTTACCATTACCTATAGTTGACAAACCATTTAATTTTCACTATTTCATTATTGATCAAGAACATTCAAGATATTTATAACAAGTCTTATATCCATAAGGAATTATTGCTTGAAATAAGACTTGTACCTTAAGAAATTATGGCTTGATGCCTTCTCAGGATAATCAATAACAGAGAAAGCTTGTTACTGAATTGGGATAAGCCTTTTTTTAATCTTGAAGAAAAAAGAAACCAGTCCAAGATGGAAGAAGGAATACCATAACACATTTTGACAAAATGAACACTTTGTCACCTTGCTCTTTTTACTATACCCAATAGCATTATCAGATTTATTGTTATATAAGATGAGGCACATGGGAGTTATATATCTTGTTTATATTTTTTGTTATATATAGATCAACCAGTCCAAATTTCTAACCAATTATTATTCAGGAATTCCAATGTAACCAAAAATTTAGAAACAAACTAAGGAAGGCAAAATTCCCCAGAAAAACCAGAAAAAAGTATACATGCTTGAAAGGATAGAAGGAAAACTTGAGAAAAATGAGAGAGAAGTTTCAGAAGTCTGTATCAATCTTTTCAGAAGTCTTGAATCTTTGAAGGAAGAGAGAGGGATATTTTTTTTACAGGTTTTTTTTCCTAACAAAGTGTTCTTGCCTTTAACTTTCTAGATAGATTTTTCTTGTATTTACTTGCTGAAATATAGGAAGTTTATATTAAAGAGAAAAAGAAACAAGAGGGGAGAGACTAAAGCCTTTAGGTATTAATGTTGTTAAAAAAAGTGTGTAGGCTTTATTACAAAGAAATATAAAATTTCTTTGAAACGTCTGTTTTTTGTGTTGGCTAAAGAATCAGTGAAAAGAGTTTTTTCCTAGTTATAGGATATTATTATATTTTTTTCAAGTTATATTTTTTAAGATTATTATTTTATTCAATTAATAAATATTTTTAAAATTTTGTTTTTAACTATTTTTAAAATAAATATTATTTTTTATTTTATTACTATTTTATAATATATTTTGAATTATATATTAATTATCTTGTTTCTAAAAAAAATAAAAATAATTTTTTTTTTCTAATTTATTTACAATTTTAATTTATTACCTTTTAATTATTTCTTTAACTGAAAAATTATTCAACATTTTTAAGAATTTTTAATTTTTTTTTTTTTTGTAGGTAAACATTATCATTTTATTAATTGTAAAATTGTTTAAAATTTATATATGGAGAAAGTGACAATATCTTTTATATAACTAGCTAGTTAATAAGTCTAATGTTAGCTTGCCTATGTGAACTATTTTAGTGATAAGGAAAATAAAAATTAAAACCGTTACATATCTGAGATAGTGCCAAGCAGCTATGAATACCTACTCAGAGTTATTGATGAGATTGTTAAAGTTAGTTATTAAATTTTTGTAGTATAGAGTAGAGTTGTAATTGCTATTAATAAATTTGTTTGTAACTAAAGATAGAAGATCCACTATTAGCTCACTATCAGAATTTGAATTAGATCTGGAGTTTAATGCTTTCTGGTTTGAATTTTTTGGATTGGTGTTGTTATTGTTATTGTTATTATTGATCTTTGATTAGTGGAGGTTCGGGTCCCATTTAATTCCAGTAGTGGGAGATGTGTTTGCTGTATTACACATTGGTTTCCAAATTAGATTATAAAATAGCGTAAGGCTTTCAGAAACTGCTTTGGTCCAGGTAATAGTATTTGCTGTAAAGTGTATATTGTTGATAAGACCACACGAAAGCTTGACTACATGCCAAATGTGGTCTATAGGTTTGTTACTTTGGTCTAGATGTAGGATACTGTTAATACTGTTAATAATTCGAGCTGTATGGTTTTCTGCTTCGATACATTCGAAAACATGTCTGATGTTTTTGATTCTGAGCTCATACCTTGGACAGAAGTGGTCTGGATACTGCTTTGAATATAGTTGGTTACGGTAGGCTCGCGTTGGAAGTATTTCTGATAGAAGTTTAATTCTGAATGATATGAGATTACTGTAGGAGTTGTTTTGTGTACCTCTGATTTGCTTGATGGATTTGGTGAGGAATTTTAGGCCATATGGATTTAAGGCTTTTTGGAAGGTTTTGATTACAGAGGAGCTTTCGCAGATCATATAGGTCTTTATGATTCTCAGAATTTTTTTGAACCAAATAGTGCTACTGTCCAGATTAGTATTGTTTATTTTGGGGTTCTCGATAAAGTATAGTGGAAGAGTATTCCACAGTAAAGTTTCATTTATAACTGGTCTGGACTTGGATTTGGTTGATTGAAGTCGAACTGATCTTTGGATACTCAAATTGATAATTCTTGAAATTATAAATGCGTAATTGGTTTTGACTATTTTTCTTGGACCATTAGAGACTTGTTACAAAATGTCTTGATTGTTTCTGATTTCGATTGTTGATGAGACTGGACACTATTGAATAATATTATAGGTTATCAGAAGAATGTTAGCTATAGCTGTGCCTGAAGTAGAAAGAGTAACTTTGGTTTCATTGATAATAATATCATCTTTGAAGGCTTGAATAGAGAAAAAGAGAGAGTGGCTGATCTTAGAAAGTTGAAAAGGGGAGGGAGGATTTGGTGAAAAACAGATGTCTTTTACAATTTTTTCTTGCGCTTGAGGGGTATTGAGAGTTTCCTCGATTAAATTATTAAGATGAAATTTTAGTTGGGAGGGTTTTGGATAGATACCTATAAGGATGATACAGATGTGGTTGTGAAAATGATGAAACAGAAATTGTTGCGACTCATATCCAAGGAACACCCTTGACACCTGATAAGATTGTTGGATTGGTCTATTCGATAGTATTTTTCTTTAAAAGGTGAGTTTTCTCTAAATTCTGTAGCTCTCTTGTGGATTTTAACGATGACATGACTTGGGTTGACCAGCCAAAACATTGGTCTTGGATTGGGAATAGGTCTGTGCGTACTCTTTAGGGAGGAAGTGTTGATAAAGTTTTTGAACCAGTGAGGTTCTGGACCCCATCTTGTAATCCCTGTGTGCGAAATAATTTGGAACCATGTAAGTTTGATAGGACTATTAAATCTAAGCAACTGGTTGGTGAATTGAATATTGAGTGCATTTGCTGTGTGAACTGCAGTAATTTTGAGATTGCTTTTAAGTGATCTGAATAAGAAACCAATAGAATTTAT